ATAACTAGGTGATTTTCCCGTGCTCATGCACGGGTATAAATATTCATAAAAATAAAATTTTATAATAATTGATTGATCTTTAGTTTTAGTTTTGTATCAATTTATATGTATAATTTATATTAATAAATATTATATTATTCTAATTATACATATGACTTTGGATATATTATTGTCGGTTTAGTTATTTTTTGGATCAATAGTTGGTTTGGTTATCAATTTGGTATATCGGATAATATTTATTTTTAGAATTCAGCTATAATATTTTTTATTGTAAATATAACAAACTACGATTAATTTTCTTATTTTCATTTCGGTTGGTTATTGTCTTAAATATGTAAATATATTCTTAGATATATAAATATATTATAGTTAAATTATATATAACTTAATATATATATATATATATATATATATATATATATATATATATTGTGCTTAAACTAAAATAAATAATAAGCTGAAGTGTTGATTCAAAATTACATAAATGAATATAATGATAATATTTTGAAGTCTCATGCCTATATATAAATTGTACAAAAGAATAAATTGTAATTGGTTAATATTTCCTTTTTCTTTTTAATATGTTTTGAGTCAACCTCTAATTTATATGTATAAAATTAAATAGATTATTATTACTATAAAATTATATGTTCTTATTATAGTTAGGTGTTTAATTTTGGATATAAATTAGATTAGTCAAGTCATTCATGTTGTGAGTATATTGAGTTAAAATTGAAGTATAGTTACTTTTTATTTTAATTGTCCAATAAAATTAGTTATATTTATCGCTTAAATATACATGTATTTTCATAATATTTATTTATTCCTTATTTTAGGTAAGTCAAATCAAATTAGTTTTATTTATCGTTTAAATATACAAGTATTTTCATACTATTTATCAAATTATATGTTGATTTCTAAAAATATTAGAAAATAAAGTGTAACTGGTAAATTTTGGATGTTCATGAACATATATATTTTATTATTTTGAATATATATTATATGTTATTTAAAATATATATTAATGGGGTATATTACTATTTTGTGAAATTTCCATTTTAATAAAGTTATATTATATACATATTTTTCGTTTTTAAATCTGTTTTAAAATTTTAGAAATATTTCCTTTTTTACATATGTTATTTGGAAAAGTAAAAAAGAAACTAAATAAAAATAATAATAATAAAATTAAAATTTAACAATTCATTAAGGGTATCTATGTAATCAACCATCGCGAGAGTTAACGTGAGCACGACACGTAGGAAACTGACTTCTCAAATAATATTATAGAGATATTTTGGAGATTTTGAAGGTTTCGGAGAAAATTTACCATACTATTAATATTGTTGTGATATTTAAATTTATGCAATAACTATGATTTTCATGTACCTTTTTAAAAAGTTTTTTTAAGTTTCTTTTGTAATATTCGTGAAGTCTAATTTTAGTTTTAAAATAATATAAATATTATTTTAAAGTTCTATGTATAAAACTTAAATTTATAAAAAAAATCTGAAATATTTAAAAAATATAAAAATTTGACTGATTAAAATGTTAAACGAGAAAATATGGAAAAATCATAATTATAATTAATATATAATTAATTGTAAGGACCAAAATGCAAATAAAAAGATGAAACTTCAAATTTGAAGTTTATTTTTAGAGAACCAAAAACTTTATATTTGATGTTATAGAATGTCTTTTGTAGATACTCTTATAGAGGTTCTACTGTAGGTTCATTTTCGCATGAAATCCTAGGAATAAGAGAAATCAAATTAATTAATAACTTTGTAAACCTAATGCGTTCTAATTATTCAAAGCTCATCCACAAAGCGTGTATGTATAATAGACTCATTCACAAAGGCAAAAGCATGTGAGAAATGGAGCGTGTCACAATCTACAATAGGACGGGAACATCGACCACCAACTTTTCAATAGTGCGATAGACATGTTGTTGACATAAATAGCTACCAACCTCTTTTACAATTCTTGTTTTTAATGAATTTTGTAACTAAAAGCACAAAATATATACAACACATATATTTTTTTTGAGAGAAAGTGTACAACACATATATTTGTATATCTGTTTAGCTAAACCCAATAATTTTAAATGCATTTTTATAAGTAGTTAGTTAGACCATGATTAAATTCAATCTTTTAAATGACATTCTTAATTTGGGATAAGAGAGGTTCTTAATTTTTCTTAAATTTTAACTAAAAAAAACAAAACACCATCATATATAAATCGTTTTTAGTCGAAAAATGTAAAAAGAAAAGGGAAAATTGTCATTTAAATCACAAACTTTCAAATTTGGTTGAAATAAAGCACCAACTTTTTCATAAGCCAAAAAAATACTCAACTTTTATTAACAAGCCATTTTAATCACAAACTTTCGTCGACCATACCAATTTAGGCATATCGTTAGTCAACAGTTATAGTTGACTAACGGTAGGCCTAAAATGGCTTTCAAAGTTGATGTTTTTTTTGGCACAAATATAAATCAATATATTTTTTACAATATTGGATATATTTTTAATATTGAAAATATTTTTATAACAGAAGCACTAATAAATAAAAGTATAAATAAAAATTCTAGAAAAAATATAAATAAAACTCAATGTAAAATAATTAGTTAACATACATTAATTGAGTATCTTAGTTATATAATGATAAGAATATTTTAATTATTTACGATTAATTTTTGTAAATATTTATATAATCTTATTTGAATTATGTTTTATAATTTTTTTTCAAAAGTTTGTTGATAAAATATTAATTCAACTAGTGTTTCTTAAATGAAAAAATTGCCGATTAACGAATTATTCATGATTCTTTAAGTTTATAATAAAGATCTTCAAACAAATCTATATATTTTCTATAAAATTTTTACATGAGGTTTTCTGCATCTAAAAAAAAATAAGTTTCACCAAAATAGATAATTTTTTTTGTTATCCGGTAACTCATTTTGTTTAAAAAATCAAGAATTGAAATAATATTTTACTAACAAATTTTTGACAGTAAAATTATAAAACATAATCCGTGTAGGATGATACAAATATTTTTTAAAAATTAATCGTAAATAATTTAAAAATCATAATCATTTTTTAACTAAAATACCCAATTAAGGATATGTTAATTAATAATTTTACATTGAGTTATTTTTATATTTTTGAATGGAATTTATTTTTTATTTACAATTTTTTTTATTAGTGTTATAGTTATTAAAATTTTCAATATTTAAAAGCTAAAATATTGAAAAATTGTTGATTTATATTTGTGCCAAAAAAAACACCAACTTTAAAAGCCATTTTAAGCCTACCGTTAGTCAACTATAACTGTTGACTAACGATATGCCTAAATTGGTATGATCGACGAAAGTTTGTGATTAAAATGGCTTGTGAATAAAAGTTAAGTGTTTTTTTGGCTTATAAGAAAGTTGGTGTTTTATTTCAACCAAATTTGAAAGTTGGTGATTTAAATGACAATTTTCCCAAAAAGAAAATGTTAAATTGTGAGTTAATAATTTGGGCTAAAAAACAGGAGTTAACTTAGAAAAGATACAAAAAGGTTATGGTATGAAATCCCTAAATAGTTTATTCTTTTGGTATATTGAGCAAATTCACTCTAAGAAAAAAGGTTTATGGTTAGGGGTGGGCGTTCGGGTACCCATTCGGGTTCGGTTCGGATCTATTCGGGTTTCGGATTTTCGGGTTCACAAATTTTAGCTCCATTCGGATATTTCTAAATTTCAGTTCGGGTTCGGTTCGGATCTTTGCGGGTTCGGTTCGGGTTCGGATAACCCATCTAAATTATTTTTAAAATTTTAAAATTGATTATATACTTTACATTTCTAAAAATCTATAAAGAAAATAACATATTAAAAATAATTGAATAACATAAGTCAAAATGCCTAAAATTAACATATAAATTAGTTTGATTTGAATATTTGGATTAGGAATCAATAATTTTTAAAGTATTTTTGATGTTTTAAGTGTACTTTAGTAATTTTAGACTTGTATGTTTGACTATTTACATATATTTACAAGTATTTTGAATAACTTCAAAGTATTTTATATATATTAAATGTTTTTTGTATATACATTAAATCTAAAAATAACTAATATATATAGGTATATAAATCTCTTTCGGATATATTCGGGTACCCGAAATACTTCGGTTCGGATCGGGTTCGATTTCGGTTTCGGTTCTTTAAATACCAAAATTTTGAACCCATTCGGATATTGAATCAATTTCGGTTCGGATTCGTACTACTTTATCGGATCGGGTTCGGTTCGGTTCTTCGGATCCGGGTTTTTTTGCCCAGCCCTATTTATGGTTTCACCAACCCCCTTTTCATTTTGTTCTGTATTAATTACTCATCCACCCAAATGGATTAGTCACTTATTTAATTACATAAAAACCTTAAAAATCGGAGATATATAGAGAGATAGAGGTCCGTCTCTGCCGGCCGGAGAGAATTTCAGGTGAAACCCCTTTCGTTTCCTGCAGATTCTCAGTAGAATTTGTCTTTCTTCTCGATTTTGAACGGTTGTAATTTTGTGTGTTTGTTATGGAGTTTTCTTAATGCTAATTAAATTTATGATCTTTTATATGTTTTCTCTCAGAAAAGTCTCATTCTTTTTTTTTCCCTTTCGTTTACTCAGTTTGATTTGAATATTCATTTTTTTTCCTGTAAAGTTTGAATTTTCTGGTACACTCTGACTGCGTAATCATTCTTTTTGTTTCTCCACTGATTTTGCCGCAGCTTTATCGATTTTTCTTTTTTTTTTGCTTTAATAAAAGAAAGAATCCTCCTTTACTCGAAGCTGATGTCCATGGAGCAATACTTGTCATTAATTAGAGCTAAAGTCTTCTCCTTTATGTCACAATGATGCTCTCTTGGTTTTGGTAGTTGCAAAGAAAGCTGAATCCAGTAAAAATTGCTTTTGCAGGGCTTTTGAGTAGTTTTGTGTGTTGAAGATTGTTTTGAATTGTTTTACACATGGAAGCAGCTATTGCCCAGAGGGTTCAGTACCACCCATCATGGGTTGATAGCAGAAAGTTTGAGGTGAAGCGGCTTGGTTCATTGCGGTTTTCTCAGCGAGTTAAGGAAGAGAAAAGGTTCGGAGGTCTTGTTACTTTGGCTCATTTGCAACCTGACAAAAGAAATGATCAAAGAAGATCGGTTTCTTCAGAGGTTTCATGTTCTGACAACAACTCTTCAGGTTCTTTTGAAAACATTTTGATAGCTTTTGAGTGTGTCTCAAAAAGAAAACTTTATTTGATCTTTTATTATTATTTTGTAGTGTTGTTGAAGGCGGGAAGTATTCTTCCATTTGATGAAGATCTAATTCTCAAGGCAAGTAATTAATAAACCCTTTGTATAACATCAAAGCATCGGTTACATTTCAGCTTGTGCTTCCATCTTCTCTGTTAGATTTGTGTTATTTCCTCTTTTAAATCTTACTGAACGTTGGAGATTTGAGGGTTGCAGAAAAAAGCGGAAGAGGTTAGACCGTATTTGCATGGACGTTCTATGTACCTTGTCGGTCAGTTTCTTTATCTGCTCCTTTGTTTGCATATGATTAGTTCCTAACACTTTCTTGTAATTTGATTTTGAAAACAGGAATGATGGGCTCTGGGAAAACAACCGTGGGGAAGTTAATGTCTAAAGTGCTCGGTTATTCTTTCTTTGACTGGTATGTTCATGCTGCTTTCAAGCTGTGTTAATAAGTGATAAAGGGTTACTACATAAACAACTCCAAAAGTAATGAAAACATACACAGAATAAATTATGAATTTGTAACATTCTTTAAGTTTTGTGGATGTGTCAGTGACACTCTGATTGAGCAAGCGATGAATGGAACTTCTGTAGCTGAGATATTTGAGCTTCACGGAGAAAGTTTCTTTAGAGGAAAGGAGGTTAGTTCTGTGACTACTTTTAGTCTGTGGTCCATGTTTCCAAGCTCTTCTAAGCTTAAAATCTTAATTTCTTTCTAGACTGATGCACTAAAGAAGCTCTCTTCAATGTATCAAGTTGTTGTTTCCACTGGTGGAGGTGCAGTTATAAGACCCATCAACTGGTGAGTTTATCTTCATCCCCATCTGAAGTCATTAACATATGAAACTCAGGTCTCTTCTAAACATCATTTGGTAATTGATATTATCAGGAGATATATGAACAAAGGAGTCAGCATTTGGCTAGATGTGCCCCTTGAAGCCTTAGCACATAGAATTGCTGCTGTTGGAACTGATTCACGGCCACTGTTACACGATGAATCAGGAGATGCATACACTGTGGTACTGCCCTGGCTGTATTGTACAATCATAAACCTTGGATACTTAAACATAGCATTCATCCTTTTTTTCTTTTCTTTCCAGGCTTTCAAGCGTCTTTCGACTATTTGGGATGAGCGCGGTGAAGCATACACAAACGCAAATGCCAGAGTCTCCTTAGAAAGTATGTCCTGAGAGACTTGGTTCTCTGGAAACTTGTGCTAGTAACTTGACTTTTTCTTTCTTTGTACTTCAATTGTCAGATATTGCAGTCAAGCTTGGCTATAAAGATGTCTCAGATCTCACACCAACTGAAATCGCCATTGAGGTAAGTCAGTCCCTTGCTCTGACACTCCATCGTTGATTTTGTTCAATCAAACTCAACAAAACAAATCACTCATCATCAGGCCTTTGAGCAAGTTCAAAGCTTTCTAGAAAAAGAAGAAACAGTGGAGATCCCTGATGGTGACCTCTAGTAAGTACCCCAGCCTCCAGTTGTGTCTTAATTTATCTGCACAGTCCAGTCAAAGAAGCAATCACTCATAGCCAGACCATTGAGCAAGTTGAGAGCTTTGTAGACAAAAAGGACCTGTTTAGTTACTTGTTTTTGGGTTATCGGAGCTTTACACGAGTTTGATTTTGAATGTGGGAAACCACAAATAATGTTTTATTTGAAGATGTTGCAATACATGTAAATAAAACTCTACAATACTCTTTTTGTTCCTTATATGCTATCTATAAACGTTTTATTAAAGATGAGCCAATCTTAATGGTATTATTCTGAAAGAAACTATCACATGAATTACAAACAAACGAAATGGATCAACAACATGCAAAAGAAAGTTTGATTTAAACCGAAAGTAACAAGTAACAGAAGCAGAAGAGTATAAACTTCATTACACTTGCCAGTTGTTTCATACTTGGCTCAGGGTCTCAGACCAAGCTACACTCATTGTCAATCCACCGTTTCCGACAAAGCACTCTAAATAAATCACTATGTTCATCACAATGAAAGTTACTCACAGACACAAAAAAACCAATCAGAAACAGACCTCTATGGTATTGTATGGCATGTATCATCAATCAAACGGTAGCCGCTAAGCAATTCACAATGGCAGATTCATTAGGAACAGTAAACACAGCACCAGACCATTGTATCTTCCCCCAAATCTCCCCTTCTCCACGCCTCTCAACCTCAATCTCAGCCCCCCAAATCTCCATCTTCCTACACCCACCACTCCCCGCTTTCCCTTCCCACAAAACCGCAAGCCTCCCACCACGATTCGCCATAGTAGCACCACAAAGAAACTTAGGAAGCGACTCCACACCTCTCACCTCTCTCCAAACCCTCTCTTTCGGATCATACCCTCTAATCTTCCCCAAGTAATCATAACAATACAAAACATCCTCAATCACACAAGCCCTCCCTCTCCACCCCAAATCAAGCCTCTTCTCAGGCACACCCCACTCCTTCCCCTTAGGCTCGTAAACGACGCCGTTTCGATCAGCCATCGCGTAAACTCTCCCTCCCATAACCGCACTCGCGTGCATCCACTTCTCACGCACCTCAACCCCCGGACTCGCAACCGCCTCCCATCTCTGGGCCTTTAAATCAAACCTCTCGGCCCAATTAATAGCCCGGGCCCAATTATCAACCACGCATCCCCCAATCACGTAAATCCACCCGTCGATCACTCCCGCCGCAGCGAACTCGCGGCCTACCCTCATGTTACCGACTCTACGCCACGTGTGGAGCTTGCAATCGAGACACCACACGTTGGAGGAAGGCACGTCTTTGATGGATCCGCCGATGACGTAGATCTCGGATCCGACGGCGACGTAGGCGGATCCGACGAGGGAGGGGGAAGGGCAGGAGGGGATGGGGACGAGGAGGTTGGAGTTCGTCGAGGCGCGGTGGAGGAGAGTGAACCAGCGGGCGCCTGTTGACGGAGGGATGCGGATCGCGACGTAGAGGATGGTTTCGGTGGCGGAGAGGAGGGATCTGGTGGTGTAGAGGAGAGGGGATTTGGGGAGAGATCGGAATGTTTTGGAGACGAGTGAGAGGTTTGGATGGTGGTGTCGAGGGACGCGTGCTAGACAGTTCAGAGCGACGTCGTCTGGTAAGGAGGGAATCAGTTGCGTTGACGTAGTTGTTTCCGGTGGTGAGTCGTCGCCGGAACTCGCCATGGGAATCTTCTTATTCGATCGCTGCTGACTCTTTCTCAATTTTTTAAAGAGGGACATTTCCGGTTCTGCTCGGTTATTGGTAATTCGAGTAGAGAAATTTAAGAACCGGGGAAAAATTAGTTTGGTTTGAATAATAAAACTAAAAACCAGAGAAAACCGGTTTAAACCGGAAATGGTGCCGTTATCTAAAAGTGGTGACGTGGCGAAAGCATGATGCGTGGTGTGAAAGACGCCACGCGCTCTCTCACTGAGAAGAGAAGAAGAAGACGATGATAACTGATTCTTGTTTCGTAAAATTCCGAGAAAAGCATGGTTGCATTAGCTGTTTCTTCGTCCGGTATTGCTTCGTTTCGCCGGCATTATAGCTTTCAGTTAAGTCCACGAAACCCGCTGATTCGTGCAACGGCTTCGTCTTCCTCGGCTTCTCCTGGGGTTGATTTGAGTACACTCGAGTCCGCAATTAACAAGGTTCCTCCTTTTCCGTTAATTCTATAACTGGATGAATTATCCTCGTAATTTGGAAAATGGGTTTATGAGTTGGACGCAGAAAGATAGTAGTGGTGTGAAGGAGGCTTTGGATAGATTGGGTGAAGAAGGTTGGGCTAAGAAATGGAGTTCTCAGCCTTACATGTCGCGTCGTACGGTGTATATCCGATCTCTCTATCTATAAGCTTTTACCCTTACATTCGATGAATGAGTGGATGAGAGTTGGGAGTGAAGAAATCATGCGTCTTTGTTCTTGTTTCAGACATCGCTTCGGGAGCTGACAACTCTTGGAATCAAGAATGCAGAGACTCTTGCCATCCCTAGTGTCAGGAACGATGTAAGTTCATCTTTTTTTCTTGTGCGGTTTAGACAGTGTATGTTAATGAAGGTTGTTCTGATTGAGTTCTTGTAATGCAGGCTGCTTTTCTTTTCACGGTTGTCGGAACAACCGGGTTCATAGCTGTACTTGCCGGACAACTTCCTGGGGTAAACTCTTTTCTCTGATGATACAATGGTTTTATGTTGATTGTGTTAGATTCTATACGGGTCTTAGACTGATAAAATAACTGTTGACTCTGTACAGGACTGGGGATTCTTTGTGCCTTACTTAGTTGGGAGCATCTCATTGGTTGTATTAGCCGTGGGGAGCGTTTCCCCGGGGTAAAATAATAACAAGGCATTGTATGCTTTGTTAACATTATGTTCTCTAAGTTAGAGGTTGATATCTTCAGCTCTTTTTGCTTGTAGGCTTCTTCAAGCTGCCATTTCCGGGTTTTCGACATTCTTCCCTGATTATCAAGAACGTATTGCCGCACATGAAGCAGCCCACTTCTTAGGTACATTTTAAAAAGTGTATTATCTTTTGGTTGTCCAGTGTTTCTGATTTGTGTTTTGAACTTGCAACTTCCAGTGGCTTACTTAATTGGACTTCCAATCCTCGGCTACTCGTTAGATATTGGTAAAGAACACGTCAATCTCATCGACGAGAGGCTAGCTAAACTAATATACAGCGGCCAGCTTGACTCAAAGGAGCTTGATAGGTAAAGAGCTTCCTTAATGTCAGACAAAAGAGAAAGAAGAATATAATCACAATTCACTGAATCTTCTTTGGTTTCTCAGGTTGGCTGCTGTTGCAATGGCTGGACTTGCCGCTGAGGGTCTGAAGTATGACAAAGTGATCGGCCAATCTGCGGATCTGTTCTCTCTTCAGGTCCTCTTAGTTCTTCTTACCTCACTCACAAGTTCAGAAACACTAAATTATAACAGCTTTTTTAAAAATAATTTCTTGCAGAGGTTCATCAACAGGAGCCAACCTAAAATCAGCAATGAACAGCAGCAAAATCTAACTAGATGGGCTGTAAGTTTCTTTTACATTATCTGGCTTTATCTCTCATACGTGTTTCTTTTTTTTAAGAGTACTCGTGAATCTTTTGTTTTGGTTGTGTAGGTTCTTTACTCTGCTTCTCTTCTGAAGAACAACAAGACCATCCATGAAGCTCTAATGGCTGCAATGTCCAAAAATGCATCTGTTCTTGAATGTATCAAGACCATTGAAACAGCTTTATAGACTTGGCGTAGTCTGGATTCTTCAAATACAATGTAACAATCTCTAATTCTATTTTGATTTTTTTGGGGTCAATTTCTCTTTTGATCAATCCAATTCCGAGACCACTAAATCGAGTCACATATTTTCTTAAATATATAAGGCGCAAAAGTTTCTTCTTCGAAAGTTTTGTTTAAAATACCAATGCCAAACTTTTTCCGCTGATCGAATCCAAAAAAAAATGGTCTGAAGAAAAATAGGAGACCCATAAAACAAAAATTTTACAAGCTTAATTATATATTGACATAAACAAAAGCTCCAAATCCAAAAACTTTGTATCCCACTGCGATGGCTACTACAAAACTTTTTGGAAATCATTTAATATAAATAAGGGTGAATAATTGACAAACACTCAGCAAAGAAAGCTTATAAAATTCTGAAATCAATTACCAGAATCATCACATAACATAGAAAATGTTTTAATGTATAGAACATCTAGTAAAACAAAAGCATAAAAAACGAGGAAAAAACTCTGACAGTGCTAACAAGAGACCGTGCCACTTCCTTTCGTCTCCATCTAGCTTCAGTTCCCATGAGTTCAATGTTTTAAGGCGGTCACACCACCTCTTTCGGTCCTATTGTCATCCGCACAACCACAAGTCTTATCTTCACAACTGCACATATGCGTGCTCAAGCGATGACACATGCCACTTCATTCAATTACCGCATATTCAAACATGAAGCGATGCAACATCTGAGAGTACGTCTATCCACTCATTACATTATCAAACACTTGTCTTACGCCTTCCTCTATCTCATATACACTACCAAAACATATTGTTCCAAATAATTTAAAAATCCACAAACAGGATTCAAAAATCGTATATATGTAATAATAAATCAATCACCAAGATAAATATAACTATAAATATTTAAATATATGTACATAACATAACAACATGTATACTTACATATATATAGATAGAAATGTTCCACCTAGACATGCTTACCATTGTGCGAGAATGAAGAAAAGAGCAAAATATCGCAACCAGTCCTCATTTTAACCTAGATCTGCTAGGCGAGATAAGAAAAGTTGTGGATCTTTTTGTTCTAAAGCTCCACATGAACCAATTCTATAAGAACAAGGGTTGTATCTAAACATGAGATAAGAAACTAGAAAAGAAAGCATGCAAGGGAGAATATACGAAAGATGGCTAGGGTTTTCTCTTCACCAGTGGCTTGATTTATTAGAAAATATAGCTTTTTTTTTTTGCCAAATATGTGAATTCCATTAAAAATGGGAAGAGTTTGAAAATTTACAATAGGTTTAAAACAAAATATGGTCTACCCTGGCAAAAAGAATAAAACAGGGCAGAGCATATACGCATGAGAAACAGAATATTTGTCACTCATTGACCAGCCAATGTTGCATGAGATTTTGATCTTGTTTCAGATTTCTCTTTGACAGAATCGCGTCACGGATGAACCGGTCCAAAACCTTGAAGACAACATTTGCAGGCATGGAAATATTGTCATGGAGCCTTTTATTACGCTCAGACCAAATAGAGTAGATCGTGCACAAAGCTACCAACTTTTTCAGGAGCGTCGGTGTTGTTGCATCATGGGAGCTCAGCCAATGCGTGAAAGCTGTCCATGTATGGAACCCGAAAGAACCGTAACCCAATCTCGTGAGGCAGAAAGTCCATAGCTCACTACTCCACTCACACCTAAGGAAGAGATGGTCTCTATCTTCAGTGTAACTGTCGCAGAGGCAGCAAGCCGTGGAGATATTTAGGCCCCATCCCGCCAGTCTTGATCTTGTGGGTAATCTGTCAAGCTGCACAAGCCACATTAAGACTCAAGAAAACGACAAGGGATCAAAACATGACAAGATCTCCTCTTTGGTGCGACAGCTGTGCTTTGGCTATCGACTATGGATCCTCCTTGCCGATGGCTGATATCTAAACAGACAAGAGTACACAACTCTTACCAAGAAAAAGCTAAGGATTGTTTCATTTTATAAAAGAAAAACAAAATATTTTGGTTCGCTTTTTTTTTTTCAAGATCCGAGTGGTGACACTTTCAGTTAGGTATGAGATTTGAATATTTGATTTGGTTCAAATTTGTTGTTTTGGGTATTTTTAGATAGTTCAGGTAAAAATGTTTAGGATCACTTTAAAACAAAATAAAATTGGTTTAGATAAGTTAATAATCAACTAAGACAGGAAAAATCCGGATTAGTTCACTTATAGTTTGACTCAGTAACATTAGCTACAAAGAAACAAAAGTGATAAAATTCATTAATTCTACAGTTTTTGAGATAAAATATATTTTTTTTTGGACTTTTTGAGAAAACCTAGTTTTACGATTTTAACGCAAAAGCATATCTTATGGTTCTTGAAAACCATAATGTAGCGTAAAAATATAATTTCAATATTTTAGCAAACAAACTATAAATTAACTAGGTGTTCTCCTGCACCATGTGCAGTAAAAAAATTTAAAATATTTTTTTAACAGATACAATATAAATTATGTTTAAAATTAAAATTTTATTAATATTATAAATTTTCTTTTACTTATCACTATTTTAATACAATTTTTGTAATTAAACATAAAAATAATAGAAAAATATTTTTTTTATTTTAA